GATAAATTTCTTTTTCGATATATATGAACACAACCCTAACAACTAACTAAAAATACAAACTTTTTTTGATAGGCAATTATTGTCTTTAATTCCAAATGATAAGGACGTTTGTGAGTACAGATTACGTTTGTGACATCTAGTTTCAAGTTTACTCGCTTGATATTTTTTCTTATAAGAGATTGAAAAGAAAAACGTCACAAATACATTGTACGTCATTTATAAATGAAATCTTAATATCTTTAACAAACACTTGTAACTAAAAACTTTAAGGTGTATCAATTAATAGTTATTAACATTTAAGTTTAAATATTTTGAATATTCTTGTGTCTTGTATTAACTGATGTTTTTGCTTTCAGTCCCGAGACTATTAAAGCTTCATCTGACGCAGAACCGGTGGGCTAGCCAGAACCCACGGGTTTGGGCCCTCCGCTGTGGGTAGGGCCACGCGTTTAAGTCTATGGTGTGTCATCTAAGGGCCATCGAGGTCGCGGTTCGGACCGAAACCCCGATGGCTGTCAACTGTGCAATTATCTAATCGGTGGCTGGGAGCGGTGAGAACCACGCCGGAACGCGGGTGTACCTTGTGTTAATTTTGAATATTTAAAGCCAATAGCAGCTAAGATACATTTGTAGTTCTAAATACGATACAATCATTATTTGTGTGAGTTAAGCGACAGCGGTTCTGTATTAGGGACTATGAGAACCACTTCCATCGCGGTGTGACCCTACCACAGTAGAGTGTAAGTGGTCAAAAAATATGCGTGTTAAAAAAGGGGAGACTATATTTTATATGAACTTTATTAAATCCTATTATAATTTTCGATAAATACGTCTGATGAAATATCCAAATTTTTGTCGGTTTTATAGTTCAACAAAAATCGATTTTTATTGAGCATTAAATTATGAACCAAGAGCTCGTTTATTTGACATCACTACATTAAATCAGTCTATAATTAATTATTTTATCTATAGTTAACATGGCGGGTGATGAAAGTGACAGGTGTGTAAATATAGAAACGCAAATTAGAAAAATTATTATTCAAAGAAAAACATCTTTCTTTTCTAAAACTTGGCCAATATTGATTACTTCATTACATAATGGATGCCTTTAATATTTCGCAGTGACTTGAAACCGTCCGGTGTAGCTATAATAAGAGAAGTATATGACAGTGAAAATGCACATATTAAATTTGAAATGGAATTGGAAAGAGCACTGGAGGCAGGAGTTAGTGTAATTGTCATAGAACCAGAGCCACTAGGAGAAGAAACAGCAAGATGGATATACGTAGGGAATCTTCTTCATAAAGTTTCTGTTTACAGTGGACTATGTAGCATTACCTCAGGTATTTATTTATATACTTTATTAAATTTCACATAATATGTTTTTTGTACAAATGTATAATTCAGTTGGTATTTTCAGAACAGCTATTTCATTTCTAATATGTCACTGATCACATAGTGAATGTAAATAAAAAATGCATCACTAAAAAAACACAATTTAATATGCTTATGCGCTATGCCTGCCGTCACGTTATATATTTTTTTCAATATGTTAAATTACGAAATAAAGCTAATAATGTATTTCTTTTCTTTCAGGACTATTGTGGAGTTCACTAGCTTGTACTCCATTTGGAGTTGTATCCATTTTATGTGCAGGTTGTTATACACTATCGTGGCAGTGGGATCCATGCTGTAAATACCAAGAAGAAAAAGATCGCCATCATTTATCAACTCTCCCTGTACTGAGTGATTTGACTTCAGCATCACCAGTTGTTCTCATACGCACAGACAATAGAAGAAAAATTTTACTACACAGTTCAATATCTGTCACTGCAGCTGCCATTTGCTTGTGGAGATTATATAACATATTTAAGTAAAAATATTATTTTAGATTATAAATATAAATTAATGTTATGCTTTTAGTAAAATCAAAAAGAATATTTTTATTAGCATTCTTATGAATAAAATGTTGAAACGACTAAAGTAGATTATAATAATATTAGTAGTGTGTTTCTTCTGACTTGTGTAGAAAATTGTTAGACTTTACATTTATTGTAAAAAGGTTACAGCTATTGTATATTTTATTTAACGTAGAATTAGACAAATCCTGTACAAAGAAATATTTTCTTTAAAGTCTTAAGGTTGCTTTAGGTAGAAAGGTCTATGCAAACAGTGGTCACATAAATCATTATTTCTGTGCTCACTGTTAACATGAAATAAATAATGAAAGCATGTTTGGATTTTTATTTTGGTAAAAAGTATAATAATAAAATTGAACATTTAAAATGAATAGACTAAATATAATAAACTAGTTCTTCCATAAAAATAATGCTTAGTGTTTATTTATGCATTATTTATGGCAAAACTGTTAAAAAGTTAGTTACTTCCTGTTCAATTGGATATAAAATACTTGGATAATCAACATTCTTTATACTTGATAGATCAGTTCATATTCAGGCTCTCTTAATTCAATATATTCAACAGGCTGGAGCAGGGCTTGAATAACCGATAAATATAGGGTAAAAACGGTATGGGGGATGACGTATTTCATACCTTTATTATTGTCATAGCTTAAAATAATGCCACAGCTTTTTTCTGATAGCGAACTTAATAACTAGGCACCCTTTTCTGAGTAGTATGTTTAGTGCATGTGCGCGCACGCGCGTTTGTGTGAGAGAGAGAAAGCTTGTGTGTTAGTGTGTAAGCGTCTAGCGTTACTATAAATAAGTTACCCAAAAAGTACTCTTTCAGTATCATCACAACTTAGCGAAAGGAACCAGTGCTTGAAACGCGTTTACATGCTGCTTAAAAAGGAAAGATCTTTGATATCACATTGTTTTGTAACTGAATTATAAACATGCATATGTAAATAAGCTGGACAACGTCAAGCGAATAGGAACTTAAAACGTGGTTTGGGAATACTAAACAATCTTCTCGTAAGTAAAGACCTATAGTGGGACCTGCATTTGAGATTTTAATGCACTTGAAGGAGAGCTTTAAGAATGTACAGCTGCCTAACTGGAAATTTCTTGTAGAGTGCGTCTGTAGGAAATCGAAAAGGCTCCTTTAACAGCTCTTTCAAGTTCCAGGAATAAACTTTTGCTTGCTCCAATATTATGTATATTTGTTACTTCGATGAATAAATGATCTAATTTAATTTGAGTCCAATTAGTCTCACGAACTCACTTTTTGCCAAAACACTTCCGACACTCAGCCGCTGCCAAAGAACTAATAAAGAACCCCATCGAACTTTAAATGACTTTATAACTGTAATATCCGGTGTTTGTAAGATATGACTAATGTGCCGATAACTTTAAAACTGTAATATTTTCTTTGCGTGCCGCAGTAAAAATATTCAGATGTGTGAAGACCATCGCAGATATGAAGTACCGTTGGGCGTTGTTCCTTTACAGTAAGAAAATTTTTCTTGAAAAAAAGGTGTGGCATATGTCCCTACATATGCGTCAAAAGACTCATCTATCCTATACATTCTTGCCTTAATATACCAGAGGCGGCAACTTTCCCCTGTAACACTGGCACCAAACAGTTTTATAGTATTATCACTTCCAGGTGACGAGATTACTCTGGTTGCTGCAAGAGCACCAACCATCTTAGTACTAACGATTTTAGTTTAGTACATTTTTGACACACTGTAACCACTCATCCTACTTTAACTTCTAGTACAGCTTCTTTTAATTTTTCTTTGATACTTACCCATGAATAGAATTCTCTAATAAACCGAAACATCAAAGTAACAAGTATAGTAACAAGATACTTGTTAGTATAATCTGAGTTAGTATTATACCAAGTGCCTTCCTTTAGTGATTTTACAAGGGTAGTCAAACATCATAGATAACATTTGAAACTGTATAAACGCTGTATTATGAAAATGAACCCTTTAAACTGTTTAACTTTGCTGTATTTGGGCTGTATAGTAAGATGTTCAGTCGTTGTAACCCCCAAAAGAGCTCCAAATTACACAGCTCTAAGTATAGATCTCGTTATCTTATAGCTGTGTACAACCCGAAGCAATAGTTGATTTAGAACTTAATTAGATACCATTACACAGATACTGTTCTACAATTTTGTTCTGAAATACAATATCGGGTTTCTAACCGTCTGAATTTAAGAATAAAACTGTGTTCGTGGTTGAATCCTTATGTCATTTTAAAAGATTTTATTTATCGAACACGCGACGGCCATATAATATTATTTGAAGTTAACAAATATATTGTATTTTGCTGTATGGTAAATATCATTATTTGTTCCTCGGTTGCCATTTTGGTTGCGGCTACTAATTTTCCGTGAATATATTGCATACTTTAAACCAAAAACTTATGTGCTCTCGAAATAATAGATATTATAGAAAATGTCTTTGTTTAACCCAACTTGAAACTAGCGTTATAAGGTGAGTTCTATTGAAAATAAATTAGTTGTGTACTTTGGTATTCGTTTAAGATTCTGTCTAAACTTCAAAGAAATTTCGAAAAACAAAAATAATTATATATTAAGAATTTATGAAGCGATGTGTTTAGAGGTAAGGTTTAATGGCGTCCTCAAGTTAAACAGCTTTTGCTCTTAACTATTTCTTTACTATAACTTTTTGTTGTTATCAAGGTTGTTAAGCTAAATAACTCTATAAATAAACAGTATTAAGTTTATAAGAATTATCTTTTGTAACACTGGTGGCTTGTACTACGGGAAAGATTTAGAGGAGAAAGGGGTATTGGGGGTCACTTAAGCGAAAATTGAAGTAGGTAATAAAAAAAGCTTGAAACAGAATCTTTATTTCAACCGCCTCATAACAAAGTCTACTTACTTGGCTATCATTTGAAATAAAAGGTCATCACATTAATAATTAATTGTGGCAAATAAAAAAAGTTAAAGAAAAAAAACAGTTTTGACTCCCATTGCACTGAAGTAAGGGTAATCGTGGGCAATCAGGATCAAACAAAAATCTAACACAAATCGCAAACATATCCCAGCTCGCAGAGTGATTAGCCAGGGCCTGGACAATCAACTGCGCTAGAAGTTGGTGGTGGTGGCAGCAGTGAACCAACATGCATTGATGTGGCAGTTATTGAAGATTCATCTGGTGCTGGGTCATCAATAGCATCTGACTCCTCATAGTTTTTAATGGCAGTAGTCTTTGATTGGAGCAATGCGGCTGGCAGAAAATATTCTCCAGAAAACACGTCGTGGTTTATTGCGTAAATACCAGTACCCCTAAATCCCGATTCCCCTTTACCAATAGGTGAAATGTTATTAAATGCCTTCCGCAATAGGGATGCTACTTCGTAAAGCGTGCTCTTCTCTGCAAGGTAAAAGATAACAACCAGTCACCTCCAACCATTTTCGAAAACTGATTAAAATTGTGTTTAAGTCTTCAGCACATTCAAACGCCACTTTTCTAATTTCATTAGCTGTGCATAAATCTATAAAAAATATTGGCCCTCTTCTTTATGAAGTCGGCCAAATACCTTTCAAGGCTTAACACAGTTATTTGTTCTAGACGTGGTGCCAAGTAAGACTTTAAATTAATCAGAAAACATAGTATACGCCAATAACATTGCATATAATAGTGGTTACTAGTGGGCAATGAGGGTCACCTCTCATTACCCCAAGCACTAAGAAAAAGAAATTAAAAACAAAATATATATTTGCAGCACACGTGATTTATATTTGAAATCTTTACACTGAATGTCCGAATAAATGCGTACGAAAGTTACAAGCAAGAAGATCAATAAATTTGATACTTACCGTTTATTTTGCGTGAGTGGAAATTTATATCGGCAATCCACAAAAACAAAAATGGCCAATTACCCACTGACACCCATTGCCCCATCATGCCCTACTCTAATCGCGTCAGCTTTAGAGTAAGGTAACGCTAAACTCATAAGCAGTAGACAACAATGTATCTTACTCTTGTAAAGGTTTTCCTAAACAACAACTTAACAGTTATTATTTAGCCTAATATGACATCTTTAAAATAGAATAATTTTATACCTATATACAGATAATAGCAATATTCAATGTTCTTGTACAGAATAAGGCAACACAAAAGTAATATTCAATTGCGGTATTCAGTCTATATACTGCTTTATTATTTTAAACTGGCTTATAGGGACTTTTTACACTACAAGCTGTATTTTAGTGTTTTTTAATGTCATTTAAAATCCAGAAGTAATAATTTCTATTAGTAACAGCCATAAACCAGCATTGCTGCAGAAAATTATACAATTTATGCTCTAGTACAGCCTTCATTTAGCTTTGTTCGTCGTTTATAAAGCTTTTAGTAGCTGTTAAAGTCTTTCTCTAGTACGTAACATATCGATGCATGCCGCTGACTCGAACCTGTGACCTTAGTAGAGACATTAGTTTTTTTTTTCAGAATCGATGTTTGTGCTTTCTTCAACGGGCACAGACATTTTACCGTGGAAAGAGATTGAGTTACTAATGACAGGACTTTTATATCGAAGTCATGATTCTTTTATGAACTGATGTTTTTGCTTTCAGTCCCAAGACTATTAAAGCTTCATCTGACGCAGAACCGGTGATAAAGAAAATAGCCAGAACCCACGAATTTGGGCCCTCCGCTGTGGTTCTTGCGTGCGTTTAACTATGGTATGTCATCTAAGGACCATCGAGGTTGCGGTACGGACCGGGACCCCGATGGTCGTCGATTGTGTTTTTAAATAATCGGTGGTTGGGGGCGGTGAGAACCGCTCTGGAACCCGGGTGTGAACCCTGGAACGTTATTAATGTGCGTAGTAAATAACATACGCGAGTCGAAAGTGACCCCTAAGTATTTCACCTTTTTCTCCCAGGGGAACGGTTGGCCATAAGGGGATATTTGCTCCAACTTTCTGCATTGGCGAGGGCCTTTATAAAGATGTGACGCGTAAGTACTTCGTGTGAAGTGAATCGCCGCACTCTTTTCGGGATTTACTTCTAATCTCCATTTGCGGAACCAATCGCCGAGGCGATTGGTCTTTGGAGACGAGTAGTGTGTTGATTGAGATTTTTATCTGTGTAAAAGAGCGCCGTTTCATCCGCGAAAAGCGCGAGATTGTCGTGGGGGTCTCTGGGTATGTCGCTCGTATAGAGCGTAAAGAGTAAGGGTGAGAGGCAGGACCCTTGTGGAACGCCAGCCGTGAGGCGGCGGCTTGTGGAGAGGGTGCCCTCAACTCGATATCAAAAGGAGCTGTTCGACAGGAAGGCTCGGATGGTGTGTACGAACCTATCTGGCACTGTTAGTGTGTACAGCTTGTAAAGCAAGCAAGACATCGAAGAAAAGAGTGCTAATATGTTTCGGATGATTTAAGCCTTTCAGGATGGGTTCCGTTAGGCGGTATAATTGGTATCGGGATAGGAATGTCTAGCTCGAAAGCCGAATTGTTCCGCCGGCAGAAGGCCGTTGGAAAATACGTGCTCTTTGAGCCTGTTTAATAATAGCCGGTCATAGAGCTACCCCAGGCAACTGAGGAGGCTGATGGGGCCCTAGCTTGAGGGCTGATTAGCGGGTTTATTCGGCTTGCGAATGCCGATAACCGTGGCTTCTTTCCAGTCGTCCGGAAAGGAGCAACTTGAGAGTAATGTGTTGTAGATGGTCGCCAGTGAACAGATAAGCGGCCCAGGGAGAGCTTTAAGAGTTTTATTACTAATATTGTCTGGGCCCGGGGCGGATTTGGGTTTTAAATTTTTAATAATGTCTTAGACCTCTTCGGGGGTCACTGAATTTAAAGGATCGCCTTCCGGTGGAAAGTCATGATTGCTACAGCCACTACTCTACTAGTCCATCAATTCAATACCCAAAATAAATTGGTTAAAGCAAAGACCCTATTTTTGAACAAACGACAATTTAATAATGCCGATATATTTGTGTGAATTTGGTAATGGTAAGCATCTTACAATGATGATGCCATATGTAATATATAAAAAGTGTGTGTGTGTACTTATGTATACACGTTAGAAGTATAACTTCTTTAATATTATTAGCATAACAAAACAAAAAAAAATGAAAATTGTATGCCGTTCATACTCTAAGTTTGTGAAAAAACATTAAATGCAATTGTTATAAGTAGGTTATAACTTGGAATTATAGGTTAATATCAAAAAGGTGTGTTGGTAATATCGTTGGGGGTCGATGTGTAAAAATTTTACTCTCATAATTTTTTCCAAATGCGCCGTAACTTCAAAAAGTTTATGTAACATCTGTATTTAGAAATACTTGCTTAAGTTATGTTAAGTATCCCTTAAAACCAAAAATAAATTATTTTCATTGAGTGAGAAATAAATTATGGGACCAAAAATTATATCATACCACACAATAAGTTACTCCAACAGTTGTTACACATAATTCAAACTATATTAAAGTTATAATAGGAACCTAAATAAACATTATAAGTACTTAAAAGTCAAAATATTAAATACCTTCTTAAATTACAAGCCCCCTTAATTGATAGTGATTAACAATGAGTGTTTTTAAGATTCACTACTACAACTTATTAAAATGTTAGTAAATAATTAAATTAAAAATTAAAAACCAACACCGCAAATGCAATTTAAGAAGTTGACTCAGCTCGTCGCGCAGCAATGTAAAAATATAATGATGGTATGCAATGTCGGGCAAATATTGCAAAATTTCCCAAAAACTGAGAGATTATTAACTCATTTTCTCTGTTAACAACAGTGTCCATAATCTTGAGGGCAACATACTCAGGAGAAAATCCATTAGCTGTACTTGCGTCCATAACTGAAAAAGAAGGACATTTATATTAATTTTCTCAGGCCATTAATTTACCAAAGAGATATTTTTTGTATTTATTATGTCCAGAATAATAATAAAAGACGTTAAGTATGTACTATAGTGTAATTAGCTAGGTAGCTTAACACAATAAATCGTTCGTCACTTCTGCTCCTACCTTCACTTATTTAACTTTATTTGACAACAAAGTAAAAAGTACCCACATTTAAGATTACACATATTGGAACATGACATACCTCACCCCTTAGTAAGCTACCTACCACACAATAATCAAAAGAAAAAAAAATCAAGAACATTTAAAATTAATAGTCTTAGTTAACTAATTAGTCTTTGTGAACCTTAGATCTTTGATATGGCGTCTGTGAATGCAAACATGATTGTGCTTTATCTTGCCTATCGTTGAAGACGTTGTTATTTCTGTGGTGGATGGTATTCCTAACATCTCAGCCCATTGATCAGAGTCTGGGATTTCAATTATTCTCTCAGTGTCTTCACTGTTCTCAGACTCCTCTCTATGATTGTTACCATCTCTGGTATTATCTGAATATACTTGTTCCGTCGTTGGTTCCGTGTTTCTTCCACTTTCTTCATTCTCAACTTCTGACTCTACAACTTTCCCGGTATCTTCCTTATTATCTGATCAATGTGACGATTAATAAGTATACCATCTTCTGTCTGCAGTTTATAACTTGATGGACCACTTTTACTAATAACCATGCCTCGTAGCCATCTGGGCCCAGTACTACTATAATTGCGATACATTTCCTGTCCAACATTAGCGCTTCTGCTTTTTCTTTAAACATTATTGTGTATTTGTTTTTCCATTCTTTCATGTGGTATAGTATCTGGATGTATTGTATCTAGTAATGTGCGTAAACGTCTCTTCATCAATAATTCTGCCGGACTCTTATTTGTAGTGCTGCATGGTGTTACTCGAAGACCGAGTAGTATATTCGGAATTTTTACCTCCCACGCAAAATCTTCCATTTTGCTTAATTTGACTTTAACGGTTTGGACCATTCTTTCTGCCAATCCATTCGTAGCGGGGTGGTAAGGTGCTGTAGTTATATGCCGGATATTATTAGCCTCCAAGAATCTGTTCATTTCATTCGATACAAATGATGTACCCTTATCAGACACCACCACCTCACAGAGTCCATGGGTAGCAAATGTTGTTCTTAGAAGTCGAATAACTGTAGAGGAAGTAGTATTGTTCACCATGTATAGTTCAGGCCAACGTGAGTAGGCATCCACTATAATTAAAAAATATTTTTTATGATATGATCCTGCAAAATCGACGTGAATACTGGACCATGGTCTTGTCGGTGTGATCCATTCGTGGTTGGTTCTTGGAGACATGTGCCTATTCTCCAAGCATTTGGAACCAGATCTAACCAGTGCTTCTATATCATCGTTGAAATTTGGCCACCAAACATAACTTCTGGCAAGTACTTTTGTTTGAACTATACCTGAGTGTGTTTTATGTAATACTTTTAATATTTCATATCGCATCGATTTTGGTATTACTACACGACAACCAAGTAGTATGCAATCCTCTTGTAATGATAACTTTGTGCGATGCAACCAGTATGGACGTAAATCGGGATCTGTTATTCTAGCAGGCCAACCTAGCTGTATGTAAAAAATTACTCGTGACAAAATCCTATCGCCCTTTGTTTCCCTGGATACATCTTTCACATCAAACGGGAAGTCTTCCGGTGTTTCGGCAATTAATAATACCTCATCTAATTGTTGTTCTGCTTGTTCAGGAACAGGTTGGGGCCATCGGCTTAAACTATCGGCGTAACCAATTTTATATTTATCTCATAACTATGAGACATCAGAGCAATCGCGATGGTAGTCAATCGCGGAGATAGCATATTAGGCAATGGTTTTATAGGCTCAAATATACCCAGCTATGGTTTATGCTCCGTAATTATCTTAAATTGTCGACCCATGACATAGTTATGAATTTTTTTAATACCAAACATTATTGCTGTAGCTTCTTTATCCAACTGCGAATAACGAAAATTTCATGAAAGTGCAGTGTCCTCGACGCCATTTCTATTGGACGTTCTTGACCGCCTTCCGTTTCATTTGATAAAACTGCTCCGACCCCATATTCTGAACTGTCGCATGTTATGGTTAACGGTTTGTTTACGTCGTAATGCACCAAAGTCAGGTCGAACGTCAGCAGACGTTTGGCTACATCGAACGCACTTTGTTCGCGTTCAGTCCATGTCCATGGATGTGTAGAGCCTTGTGTAGTATGAACCTCTCATAAAAATTGTACAATCCAAGAAAAGCTTGCAATTCTCGTTTATTTTTTGGTTGAGGTGTGTTTACTATTGATTCTAGCTTACTTCTTGCAGGATGAATGCCTTCAGCATCAATGACAAAACCTAAAAATTCAAGTTTTTCTTTCGCAAACTGGCATTTTATTTTGTTAAGACGTAGTCCCGCCCGCTTTATCCTTCCAAGTACTACGTCTAAGCGATTTTCCATTTCCATCATAGTTTGACCACAAATGATAATATCGTCTATCAAAACTGCCACTCCAGGGACACCAGCCAGTAAAGAGGTCATCAAGCGTTGAAAAATTCCTGGGCTTGCTTTTACACCAAAAGCCAACCGATGCACCGAATATAAACCCTTGCAAGTATTTAGTGTTAATAGTTTTGACGTCTGCTCGTCCACCGTTACCTGGGTGTATGCTCGATCTAAGTCTAAGGTTGTGAAAAATCTCCCTCCAGCCACGGCGGCAAATACTTCGTTTTCTGTAGGCATGGGATAAGTATCTGACTCGGTTGCCTCATTAACTGTACTGCGATAGTCTCCGCATAGTCGTAAAATTTTGTCCATTTCTTGCATGTCATATTTCGTTACATAATTGATATTCATTATTATATGAAGTACTGAACGGGTAGTGTTATTTGTCCGCGTAACTTGACAGGTGTTTCGGTCCACGTGCGTAACGAAATAGATACGGGCTGCAATGCAGTGTCTTGTAGGTGTGAGCTCAGTGTCTGCCATGTACGTTCATTTACAAGAGAAAAGCTAGCTCCAGTATCCACTTGCATTGAAACAGTACATTTGCTATAGTTACCATTACTTCATAAGGAGGCACGCGACTATCGCCACGGAGGCAATATACACTATTCAAATATTCACCCGAGTCCGACATAAACTTTAAATTGTGCTTAGTATCCTTCTTCTTACTCAAACAAATCTTTTCCAAATGACCCTTCTTTTTACAATATTTACAAACAGCATTTATAAATCGACACTCGCCCGTATGTTTGTCACCGCAACGGTAACAAAACGGAAATTTGCTTTTGATCGCACTGCATTAATTCCCATAGGCTCGTCTGAGCCGTGTACTGCTGGATCGGGCTGCGCCACTGCTGAACGCGCCCATACCCCCGACGTGCTCTCTTGAATCATGCGAACGTGCCGGCCTGCGCTTTCAGCTGACAACATCGCATCTACTACATCTTGATAACTTAAGTTATCACGTTTTAATAATTCATATTGTAATTTCTCGTCCCACATGCCGCAAACAAGTCTATCGCGTAACATTCTTTCTAAGTCGTAGAAATTGCATCCCGAACTGAGTTTACGCAAATGAGCAACATAGTCAGACGCCGATTCACTCTGTTTTTGATTACAGTTATAAAATTTAAATGAAACTGATATCTCATTAGGCTTCGGACTGTAATGATTTGTTAGAATTACTTCTATTTCACTGAAAGTCACATCACTTGCTTGTTTTGGAGTAATTAACGCAAGCAGAGTCTCAAAAACTTCTGACCCACACACTGTGAAAAAGTTAGCTCTTTTGGCTGGATCTAATACAACGCCATTAGCCTCGAAACAAAATTTTAAACGGTTAAGATAATTGTGCCAATTGTTTGTTTTAGGGTTAAATTCTTCAAACTTCACTGCTTTTCGATCCATTTTACTAAGTTTTTATACTCGTCGCCACTATTATGTCCAGAATAATAATAAAAGACGTTAAGTATGTACTATAATGTAATTAGCTAGGTAGCTTAACACAATACGTAAATCGTCCGTCACTTGTGCTCCTACCTTCACTTATTTAACTTTATTTTACAACAAAGTAAAAAGTACCCACATTTAAGATTACACATATTGGAACATGACAGTATTGTATCCTTAAAACCAATTTCACTTTTATGTGAAAAAGTGGCAAACGAGCTAGTTCACCCAAGATTGTGATAACCGCCGCCCTTGGACATATGCAACACCCGTAGGGTTGCAAATACATTACCACATTTAAACAAAGTGGGCCCCAGCTACCTCACTCATCAGACGTTACACAGAAGTGTAGAACTTGTACTTTACGCCGGTCTTCTTTGAGGTTGTGGTACTTACCCGGTTAGACCAACCCCCCCATTCATGCAACAGTGAAAACTATTGTGTGGCTCTACCACTGTATTTTGTTTACTAAAATTCTATTTCTCAACTAATTTGCTTTCAGATCTATTTGCTTTGTTTAACAGTCTTTCAATATAAACAAAGTATGGCCAAGTAGAACATGACTAATAGATATCAGACTGAATCATCAGGCTTTATAGATACAACTACCAATTACAAAAAAAAAATAATCTAAATGTCATCATTATAAATAATGATGATCAGGAACAGACAGATTCTACTGTGGTAGGGCCACACAACTGCCCATTCATACAGCAGAAACTGCATAAATGGGCAGGCTTGTCTAAGAAAGTAACCCGTCTTCACAGAAGACCGAAGTGAAGGGGAAGTATTATACTTTTGCTGTTTCGTCTGGTGATTGATGTAACTGATGCCCACTTTGTTGACATCTTTTATTAACCTAATATTATAACATATTTTTTAGAGACCATGGTAATATTAGCTGTTCCCAGCGAATGCATTATTGATAAAAAATAGGTAATAAAAAAGATAAATTCATTAACATTTGCCTATTCCAAAACAGCATAATTGTACAACATTAACTAAAACTATGCCTATATGAAAATGAAATAAATAGAATTTTAGAGAATTGTTTAAATAACTTGAAACTAAAATTTTTGATTGAAAGTAAATAACATCCCAGAAGTTCTTACCATTCTTCTCAGGTCAGTCTAAGTTTAGAAATTTTGCAATGATGTGAATTGATTTTGAAATCACACTTGAAATTTTTTTGTATTTGGCAATTATCGGAGTTAACAGTTTTAAATTTTGATGACATTGATTACACTAAAACCACTGACCTCCATGTGGAGTCCCATTTCCAGTAAGGGCATTGATTGAAACAGATGTTTTAACATATCCTGGGCTTATAACTGAAACATTTACGTTATGTTGTTTCATTTCGGCACGTAATGAGTCACCAAATGCTTGCATGGCATGCTTGGATGCTGCATATGCAGAACGCTCTGGTAAACCAATTAATCCTTGCACAGAGCTTATAAAAACTATGTGACCACTTTTTCTTTCAATCATTTTTGGCAAAACAGCTGAAACAATGTTGATAAAATGTTTATAGAATTTTTAACACATTCACTGCCAACAAAACTTTGGCAGCAGTGAATGCCAAAAAAAAATTGCTTCAAAATCAAGTAGCAATATAGATTTTGTAAGAAAAGGGTAAAAAGTAGAAATACCTAGTGTTAAACCAACAGATCCAAGATAGTTTATGTTCATAATTTGCTTGTATACTTCCAACTTTGTATACAATATTGAGCCTCGATGAGAAACACCTCCATTATTAATTAATATATCAATATGACCACAAACATCATAAACTTTGTTGATAAAAGCATTGAGTTGATCAAGGGCTCCAAGATCTAATTCCAAAACAATAGGATCTATGCTTAATGCCTGTGGAATTTAAAAATGAATGGTCATGAAGTTTTAGTGCATAAGTTTTTTTTAGTAAAGTTTCAGTCACAAGGTTCTTTTACTTTCTTCTTTGAGATAAGATCTTGTTTGACTCTTTCCAGTTCTGATATTCTTCTTGCTGCAAGGACTATTTGGCATCCTTGCTCATAGAAAACATGAGATAAAGCCTCACCGATACCAGAGCTTGCACCAGTTATCACTACTACCTATAAAAAAGATAAAATAGAATTAACTCAACCCATCTCTGAAATCCTTTACTAGTTTTACACATAAAATAATTAAATATGAAAGAAATACACATAAAGAAGTGAAGTGTGCATACCAGTATTGTAAATAATTAACATGTTTTTTTACTGTATTCTGCAACATAATAAAATCACTTCCTTCTTAAAATTATTGATAAAAAATTAATTTTGTATGCAGCGTAATGGCGATTTCCATAGTGTATTGCAAGATTTATTTATTCCTTGACAATATATACTTCATTATTGTTTCATGGATTCAAAAAAGCGTACCCATATAGTAAAACAAATAAAATTCATTCAAGTGGATCAAATATGGCCAGCAAAACTATGAAGAAAAAAAAGTTATATACTCGATTACGAAAGGGGAAGAGTAATTACTTTGTGGAATTACAAGGCACAGTCCAAATAAATTTCAAAACATTTGCAAGCAGAACCGTACACTCTCACTGTTAACTGGTACAAATATGTACACTGTTTTACAAATATGTACACTGTTTTACAATTATGTATTATCCTGATATATAATAGGGAATATCAAACTGTTTCAATTATTTTAAGTTTATTACTGAAGGAACACATTTACTCCAATATCCTACCTTGCCTTTTAATAATGTCTTCCGTTTACGCAGAGACAAATTATTTAAAAATTTATATATTACTACTCCTAGCGATAAAGGAAGTCCAAAGTACTGAAAATACCACAATGCAGATCCACCGCCACTAAATTTCATTTTTAATGTTTTTCTTAGGCCAACCAGTGTTACAAATAAGAAATACTTGTGTTAGAAATAAGAACGACTATTTCGTTTCTTCTTTTTGTGATATTTTATTGCAAATCCTAACCTTGAAATCATGCAATGAGATACAATCAAATATCAAGTAGATTGTTATAATGACTCATATGTCATTGCAATTGCAGTTTGAAATACGAGTACAAGGCAACACAGAAACAAAATACTAAAAACTAAAATACCAAGTGTTTAATAAGTGCTATAAATACTACTTACACATTATCTGTATTTCCGTAATATTACTTTGCTTCATTCTATCTGTAAATTCTACACATATTCGGATGGCAGATAATAAGACAACTCGATCTGAAGAATAACTCGAAGACTCGAATGATATCTTTAGTCAGTTATCTTTTGAATTATAAGAATTGATTCATTGTAGACAAAGAGTATTAATCACTACATTGGTTTGCTTGCCGACGTCAATAAATATCATTATCAAATTCAGAAAATTTGATAATGATATTTATTGACGTCGGTAAACTAATTGTTAATTCGTTCAATTAAGTATTTTTTAAGTATTTTAATATTCCGCTACGCGAGTTCCATAGATAAGACATATATACTGAAACACACATATACTGGCGAGTTTAACTGATAATTATGCAGCATGCTAATTGCTAAATAAGAAATTTAAGAGGGCAACTTAGGCATGGGCTAAAAATATCGATATTTTTATATGTATCGATATTTTAGCTCATATAGATATGTATCGTCGATATTTTTATCGCGACATATTGATAATTTTAGACTATCGAATTCGTGTCAATTTCGATATATTTCTTAACGCAACTCTGGTTTCATGTTTAATGTTATTATATAATCTTTGCATGCTCCTCGCACATCGTTAAGTTTAAAAAAATCTTTGCAACTATTTTTTTCATGTTAGTTTAATCTTTTTTTACGAATGTTAAATGATTTGGAAATATCTACGAATAATCATGCGAAAAGTGACGACATATCAATATTTATCACTCAATTCTTTTTCGAAATGTCGATACGATAAATATCGATATTTTTTTACACTTGCACATCCCTAGTTCAATTGTGGAGTTCTCGAAGTATGTGGTGTATCGATATTTTTTAAATAATGATGAAGCGCCTCAAATAAGTTAGTAGCACGAATTAGTTCATAAAAAAGAGAAATCACCTTATGGGCATCGATACACGCATAATATAATATAAAGTTGACGCAGGATAATTTAGAACGTTCGACCGAAGTGTGCTAATAGATCCTGTCGATTTTAACAGACTATATCAGTTCTTATTAGCACCGCCACCGCTAATAGGATATAATCTTACGAACGAACTTAAGGCGCTAATAAATAATAAATTTAACGAACTTAGTTCTTAACGGTGAGCGCAAGACGACCGGCGTAGGTCCATTTATCAACGCGCCTCAGCCAGTGTACCATCTGTTCCAAAATAATACTCCTAAAGCAATTCGAAAACCCAATAATTAAATTCAAACAAACATTGCTAAAAAAATCATGATTTTTTATATTATAGGTAAAAGCAAAATAATTATCTGATAAAAGAAACCGTTTCATTCAAAATGGTCAAGAACATTAAATATAATATAATTCATTTGAAATGAATATTTTAAGAATAAAATCAAAACAATGTTAAAAAAAATAATTATTAGAATACATAAAATATTCATATCAAATAACACAGGCCTGGCCTGACGTGGTCCAAAGCAGCACAGCGCTGTAAATTTTTTTAAATAAGTAGTTTTGTACTTTTATTCGAAAATGTGAATAAAATTTAACTCCTAAAAAAATATTCCCGTAAAAATTTACCTTCAAAAAAACTTCCATTCCACATTTTTTATTCCTAAATTTAAGAAGAAAATTCCTAAGTTGGCATCCCTGGCCTCAGCGCTCTCTGGCGCTCTCTGTTCAACGCGTGGAATTGGAAGAGAACAGAAATAACGCCGCGGTGGCGCGGTGATTTGGTCGTCGCGTTAGAATTTATTTTAATGAATTAAATTAATATTTACAAATATCTTGCTTCAATCAAGTTCAAGTTAAGACAACAATCCTTGTTATTAAAATATTCTACATCACTTTTATTAATTTCACTAAGATTTGTTGATCAGTTCAAGTTCAGTTTTGGATTTGAATTTCTCTTTTAGAGGTAGTTTCATGATTTTTTTCTATTGAGAAAATATATCGAGAATATGTTTAGAAAATGTTCCATTAGAATGTAAGATCAAGATTAACATATATTTTTTTTGCTGCTATAAAATATGTAGATCTTGTTAAAATATCTTTTGAAAAACCTATTTTTACTGCATACAGTGCCTTAACAATTTATAGTTCTCTATATCTATAATGTTACAATTCTTATGTAACCATATATCTCTGTGAAGCAGATGACATGAATATGAATAGAGATGGGTCGTATCGCTTTTTCTGAGTACTGTATCTGAATCAGATATCGATTTCAAATATCAGATTTCGAAACTATGTATTTTAATATCTAGATATTTTACGGTCCCACCTTGAATTCTAAAAAAAAAAAAAAAAAATATGATTTCAACAATATTTTATACTTATTATAAATATAAATTGTATTTAAAACTTAACATTATATATTTACAATTATGTGTGGGTTAATAATTATTTAGATTCCTCCGGGTTTAAATTCACGTTTACGAACGTAACCTGTTTGACTTTATTCGTCGATAGTCTTGTTCGACGATCATTATACCTATACATAACTAAAGCTATTACCAGTGAAACCAACTGTTCAAAAAGAATACTTCTAAATAAATTCGAAAACCCACTAAAATTGACTAAATTCAAAAAACTTACTGAATTTAAAATCACGATTTTTTATACTATTAAGGTAAAATTAAAACATTACCTGATTAAATTAAAAATTTCATTACAAATAGACATTGAAGTTATATAAAAATGATTTATTTTAACATCTTATATATCGCTTAATAATTGACTTTAACATATTCTTAGAACACGCAATCATGAGTGACAATATTTTTATAAGTTGTGTAAGAAATAATACATTCCGTATTATAACTTAGGGCGGAAGAATTTAAAATATACACACAAAGCACATAAGCCTTGGCCTGATTTCCACCCAAGCAGCACAACACTATTAAATTATGTTTTTCTTTTTGTGTAGTTTTATTTTTTTTCCAAAAATATGAATAAAATTTAACTAATAAAAATATTTACCAAAATTTACCTCCTAAAAATTTCCATTTATATTTTTCTTCCTTAATTTAGGCAGAAAATTCTTAAGTAGTAAGTTGGCATCCCTTACTATTACGTGCTAGGTACCAATGCAATCCAGCTCGGCTAAACAAAATTTAAAGAAATTGTTAATACCGTAATTCGTATTTAAATGCAACTAAAAATGTTTTTTTCCATGCTGTTAAGATTCAAAATTACCTAACTGCGCGCTTTGTCACCCGTTACGGCTCAAGGCTAAACAAAACAATAAAAATATACTTAATAATATCGTTGTAGATACCATGATTAGTATTTAATTGAAACGGATCTTATTTGCATCGTGTTAAGATTCAAAATTACTTAACTTATTCATAATATCTGTTTAAAAATCTGATATTGTGCCTTGCTTGCCGTACTGCTTTAACTAGTGTAATATTTGTATCTCACGCGCTTTGTCGCTCAAAATCTGTTTAAAATCTGATATCGTGCATTGCTTGCCGTCCCGCTCTAACTAGTGAGTATTTATATCTCACGCGCTTTGTCGCTTGAAATCTGATATCGTGCATTGCTTGCCGTCCCTCTCTAACTAGTGAGTATTTGTATCTCACGCGCTTTGTCTCTCGAAATCTGTTTAAAAATCAGATATTGTGGCAAACGCGTATGATATTGCGATTCGTGTCGGTATAGCGAGCGAGCACGGTACATCAGATTTCGGAAATATCAGATATTATAAAATACATAGATATTGAACGAGCCAGTAAGCGATATTCAGATATTGTACTAATATCTAGTTTTCATATCTGATACGATTTGTATCGCCCACTTCTAAATATGAACAACATTTTATCATTCCGCTTCGTGCTCTCGTACGGAACGGACCTTTCTTCTAAGACGGAGGGCACATGCCACCCGAATTAGACGCTACTCGCAACTTTGGTTGCAATTTAAATCTTTGTGCAAGTAGTGCAATAGGTTAGTGTAATGTTGTGCTTGTAGACAGGTTCCTGTCCGTAAGTAGAATTCTATACACATTTCTCGCCTCAGAGGCGGCATTGCCTAATTTTTAACTGTGTACTTGTTGCATTGCGCGACAGCTAGATACTCACCCTAGCGCACCTAAAGCGTAGGCAAATTAATTGTAATTTTTAGGCACACTCCTTCCTGCCGCAAGGTGGGGAGGCTTATTAAGCTTACACACGCCGGCGGGGCCTAAGCCCCAAAGGCACATTCGCTCCCTTTTCGGGGAATTCGTCCGACAACGCTGTCCCGATGTATGGGAAAGCTACCTAGTGTTCGAATCTGAAAAATGATTAGTCGTCGAATACCCCAACGACAGCCCGCCTTCACCGTCAATCGCATCGCCGCCATCTCCAGTGCCCTCTGCGCCCGTAACCCCGTTGCCTTCCGCGACGCAAGAAGCGCCCGTCGCGTCGACAACCACCACCGTGAACACGCCCGCCCCCCCTTCCTCGCAAGCTACCCTGGCCTCCTTCTGCACCGTCGTACCCGACTCATACCCGGACGGCGGATCAGATAGGGCCAGCAACGCCCCGCCGCAGATAGCGACACCGAAAGCGAGGTCGCAACCTCAAGTAATAGAGCCACTGCGACGCCCGCCAAAAAGGCGGCCGCGGCAGTCCAACCGGCGCCCGAATACGCCGCCGAAAGAAAAGCCAAGCGTCCTCCGCCTATCATCATCCAGGAGAAAGCTAAATGGCATCAAATTTGCGTTTGGTTCGA